GTCAGGGTGCGGGGGTGTCAATCCCGTATAGATCTATACACACAATGTCCGCTCTCCCTACAGGAGACTCTGGTTACCAACTAGACGACGGAGAAGGCCGTGTCCCGAAGATGCATCCCAAATAGTGGGTAGTGGGTTTCTAATGTAAGTGTTGAACTAGAGGTAGAGACTCATAACTGAACTGACTAGAGCATACCTATACGTCTATACTCGTATACATAATATATAACTAATGAATCAAACGACCTTCGGACGGCCATCCGATCCCACCAGACCACATCTCAATGAAGAAAACGAAATAGGGCAGACGATCCTTGCTAAGTCCTTCAATCATTATTTATATGTACCTATACAAGCACAAACATACATCTAACTACGACTGAGTGTGTATCAAGTGGAAACGCATCATCGTGGTGTGAAATCGTACAGTGTGGGATAACCAATTCGTGGTGTGAAATCATATAGTGCGGGATAACCGAATCGTGGTGTGAAATCGTACAGTGTGCGATAACCGAATCGTGAAGTATAAGTGTACCAAGTATAAGTGTATCACGAAGTGGAAACGACAACTGATGAAGTAGAAGCATCTAACAAGTATAAGTGACCACAAGTATAAGCGAAATAGAGGCAATAACAGGTATAAGCGTATCAGGAAGTGAAAGCGTTATCAAGTAGGAGTTTACAATAAGTGAAAGCGAAGCAACGGTAACTAACAAGTATAAGTATACGACGTGAAAGAGAAATTTGACGAAAACCTTGGAAAACCTTTATACTTAGGAAAATCACATTTTGGTATTCTTTGGTAAAATAAGTTTGAAAACCTGTAGAAATCTTTGGAACCTTTATAAACCAGTTTGAAATGATTTTAGATACAACAGTACAAGTAAGAGTTTTGAAACAATTGAAAACCTTATTGAAAACCATTATAGTATCCTACTCGGTAAAACAGTGTACAGTGTGGTAAAATCTCGTGCATGCGGGTTATCAATCACATGTGATTGATATGATAACTGGCATGTTTAACTTGTATTCCCCCTATAAAACATGTAAAAACATTTAAAAGGTTCATTCAGGGGTATGAACTCACCTGGCGTAAGTGGATCCGACGAAGGCGTCGGTTGGGTACTCGGTGTCAAGTAAAGACTTGGACACACTTACTGACCTATTTAACATATGATAACATATGTTTACATACAATTAGTACATATAATCCAAATTAAACAAGTATATGCACCCTAAAGAGCGGAAAACACTTTGGTTAAGTGTTTGGGGTGTCCCGGGTAACAACTAAGGGCTCAAATGGCTTAGGAATGGAGTTTGCTCTCCGAGAGTAAACTCTCTACACTTAGTTTACAGCCCAGGGACAACTCCCCATGAGTTTATGGCCGTACACTCATGGTGAGGGGTTCTAGTGTGTTTTAAAGGCTCAATCTTGTTCTTAGGATTTTTCTAGGTCCAAAACTAAAAGGTATGAATGAGTTTAAGGTCTTTAAGGGCTCCATTATGGAATTTACGGCCCGTGAACCATCCCTAAGGGAGTTCACGGCCGTGAACTCCTATATCATGGGTTTATTGAAGTTTCAAGCCCCTAATACCCTCCTAGTAATTTATAATGAAGTGTGAGGCCATTTAGGGGAATTAAAACTAACATTTTGGCATGATTGGAGGTGTTTACGGCCTTGACATATGTCTGGGCCGTAAACTCCTTTTAACCCCTCAATTCTTTGTGTTTGAATGATCTAAACCCAAAATACCAAGTCCCTAAATTATGTATGAAGCCTAAGGGTGGTTTGGGAGTGTTTTTGGGGCATTTTAGCATGGATTAGAGGTGTTTACGGCCTAAGCATGTGCTTGGTCCATAAACTCTCTTTTATGCCCTAAATCCTTGTGTTTTAAATGCTTAAACACTCCTAGGCTAAACCCCCAATTAGTTTTCAAGCCATTAGGGACATTTTAGGGTTATTTTGGCCTCATTTAAGGGGTTCACGACCTAAGGAGGATCTTAGGCCATGAACTCCATTTCAACAGCTTAAATGGTCCACTTTTAAGCTATAATCACGAGTCATAATGTTTAGAACAAGTTAGGGTAAGTGGACTTACGATTTGGAAGCGTTTGGTTGCGGTTTTGAGTCGAAAACGAGTCTAGAGAGAGAGTATAGAGAGAGAGGGTGGAAAAGGCTCAAATGCGGTTTACTCCCCCTTATATATGGGTGGGAGTTGGAGCTCAATGGAATTCTAACTGATACTCTTGTTATACGGGGCTTTTGGTCGCACCCGATTTAGTGGTCGTGATAATAAAAACTAACTTTTCCATTTAAATGGAAATGTGTATTACGAGTTTTTATTTCTCTTATCACGACTTAACGACATAAAGATATAAATAAATGATATATTTATTAAATTGGCGGCCTCTAATTAACGGAACTTTTTACAAAAGGGGATATCCCGTTAACGGTAACGGGGAAATGTAACGGAACAAACTTGGGTTCTCACAGAGTTGGTTGAAGATAGCCTTGGACTCGGCGAGTCTGTTCTTCGACTCAGCAAGTCTGTTCTTGAGGTCTTAGCCTTTCTTGGTTAAGCTAAGAATCGGTTAGTCAAGGGATAACTCAGTGAGTTGGAAGGGGGTCCTTTTCAGTATTGGGGGCTTGTCGAGTCAGCGGGTTGACTCGGCGAGTAGAGTCAGCCAGAAGGTTGACTTTGACTTTGACTTTGACCAAGAGTTGACCAGTTGACTTCTAAGGGAATTTTGGTAATTGTTGGCTTTTGTTTGAGTTCAGTGTTGGTGCTAGCCAGTGGTGGAGATCGTGTTAGTGGTCGGAGCATCTCGATCTTATCTTTCCAGTCAGCAGTTGCGAGGTGAGTTATCCTCACTATATCAACAGGGTCTAAGGCACCAAGGTCGGTCCTTTATCGGATTGTAATCCGAGTATTGTTGTTATGTTGTTGTTTTGCTATGTTTGCATCCTGGTAGTCAGGATGGTATTCGTTAGAGACCTGGTTAAGGTCGGTATCCTAGTATATAGGATGATGTTATGCTAGTGACTGGTTAGGCCGGTATCCTTCTTAGAGTATGTTGTGTTACGTGATCTGCTAGATCAGTTTGATTGAATATGAAATGTTATATGATTGTATCTTTATGCGCACATGGTTGTTTGACTGGGGTTGGGTTGAGGCGGGATCTGCTTTGTGCTGTAGGCCAACATACCCAGGGCGGAACAGTTATTCCGAAGGCCCAGCGAGCGGTCTGGATAGGCTGTAGGCCCCACGAGGGCGGACCAGATGTGTCGAGGCTCGGAGAGTGGACCAGGCCGACTGAAGGCCCGGTGCGGGCGGACCAGTTATATTGTAGACTCAGAGAGTGGACCAGGTGGATTGAAGGCTCGGTGCGGGCGGACCAACCACCCTGCAGACTCGATGTATATGGCTATACGCGGAGGGTGGACCAGGTGGACTGTTGGTCGGTGCGGCGGACCAGTCACACAGTAGACCTGATATGCATGGCTGTTCTGTGATTCGATATGATATAGCATGTTATGTGTGTGGTACATGTGGTTGGTATTTTGGGGGTATCTCACTAAGCTTTCGGGCTTACAGTTGTGGTTTAATGTTTTTCAGGTTCTTCAAGAGACCGTGGCAAGGCAAAGGCGTGATCGTACCGCTCCTCGTGTTTATGTTTTATGATATGGACCTGGGAATAATATGATAATAAATGTATTGAAAACCTTTTTGTAATAACGTGAATAAAATACGTTGTTTTTGAAAAGTTAAATTTTGTTGAATTTTTTGGTCGTTACAGGAACTAATGTCGGCCTATTGGATTATGTTTGTAGAATGATAGTTGTCTTTGTGACACTTGCTGATATGACTATATGTGCTTGTTGTTAGGGCCGACAATTTTCGACACGACCTGCAACACGACACGAAATAAATGGGTTTGGGTTGAGTTTTTTAACCCGTTAACCCGCCAACCCGCTAACTCGTTTATTAAACAGGTCATATATGAGTTTCTCAAAAAATAAACGGGTTAACCCGCCAACCCATCTATATTTTTAATAAAATAAATTATATTATTTTTAATGTATCAAATATTGATATTGAATAAGTCATATATACCACTGATTCATAATTCATTCACCATTTGAGATTTTGACTCTACACGTGGCCGTAACAACGTAACATATAAGGCTCAAAGGCTATAACCATTTTGTACATTTTCCCTAAAATCTAAATAATGGGAATTGTGTGTTTTAACCTTGCCTATTGATTCTATTTGAAAGTTGAAGTTCATCATAAATAATATAATGGTGTTGGAGAATTGACTTTATTTTTTAGGAGAAAAAATAGGAATTGTGGTTATTACTTTAGCACTTGAACTATCTATGTTGGTAATGTTGTATTAATGTTTAGTTTGAATATGTTTCTATGAATGTTTTTAATTTTCATTTGGATCTTTAACAGTTAAGTGTCTAAAATTCGGATATATTTGTATCAAACATTAAGAATTTATTGATGTTTAATTATCAATTTATTTATGGAATCTAACCCACAAATCCAAATCTGACCCACGAACCCGCCAACCTGTGAACTTGTATAAATAAATGGATTTGTGAGTCATATATGAGTTTATGTTCCAAACCCGCCAACTCATGACCTGTATAATTAATTGAGCTGTGTTTGGGTTGGTATATTTTGACCCGTCAACCCGTCAACCCACGACCCACCAATCTAAACACGACACGATTATCAGACCTACTTGCTGTCTTTGTAACTCTTGTTGATATAACTGGATGCTTAGGTGTAGTGTTTTCTATGCCTTTCAAAAAATAGCCTCCTCATTTTTTTCATTGGAATTTTCTAAAACCGTATTTTATATTTTTATGCCTTGTTTCCTATTTGCCACTTTGTCGTAATGTTAATCTCGTTATATGACCAGTTTTCTACGCCATTTCATAGTAGTTCATCAAGTAATTTCGTAAGACCGTATTCTATAGATTATTGTCTATTATTAATGATCAAGTAGGTATTGATTATAAAGCTTTAAGTATCAAGAATCATACATATGTACAAAACATTTGAAAGACACTTGGGTCTCAAGCTACAATCAATTAGAACTTGGGGTGTGGAACATAGAGCGAGCGTTTCTTGGGCTTAAAAAGATATCTAGAAGCATACGTTGACCGGAACACATCTGCCAAAAGCGGGTACTGCAGCATCGCAAATAAAACGACTGGCATGGTGGCAAAGAGGCTGATAAGAAAAGGCACCCATCTCAAATGGTCATGGTAAATTATAAAAAAACTAACACTAAAAGCAATCATCATCATCGTTATAGAAAGGAAAAGTGTCGCTAAACCAGTCATCAGCTTTTTTGGTATCGATTCCAAGAAATCATGCTCAGCATAACGAGATGTTAGAATAGATAAGAACATGATTATGGAAGCCGAAGATGCAAACAATGATATGGCATCTGATATCGCGAAAGCTATAAAAGCACCTCTTTGAAGATAAAGTGGTGGCCCATATGTCTGATCGTATCCCCCTGGAACCGTAAAAGCAGCCGCAAATACAATGGTGGCTATAAGCGCCGCCACCACCATACACTGATTAGCCGTTCCTTTCATCCATTTTTCACCTTGGTTGACTAGATCTTTGTGTTCCTTCGTGAATAGCTCATATGGTGTTAAACCTTCCTTGTTCTTCCTTTCCCTGTAAGTAGGAGGGATCATCTGTTCCACTTCCTGTAACACAAAACGGATGTGATCAATTATCGATATTTAGTGCGTGTTCGGAAAAATTAGCTGGTAACGGCTAGCTTATAGTGGGTGGTGGATAGCTTGTAGTGTTTTACTAAACGCTACATAAAGTAGCATTTGGATTTGGAACGTTTTGTTTAAACAAGGCTTTCTGTTCAAAACAGAGCGATTTATCAAACGCTAGAAGCTCTCAAACGCTCCCAAAAGCTCTATACCGAACACGCCCGTAGACTGAAGTTTGAAAAGGAAGTCAAAGTCATACCTTGAACCATAACAATTCTCGTTGCATTTGTAGCGCTACACCTGAAACAATCTCAAGTCGTTTTTTCTTCGCAACTTTCCCAACTAAATGGAGCATATTATTCTCAAATTGGTCTTTGAGAGGAGTTATCAAATCTTTCATCGACCCAAGCTCATATAACAAATTGTAAATACTTTCATGACGATGTATAACAGCTACATGAAATATACTTTGGTTATCGCTATTCACTTTCCATATTAGATCCGGATAGAGACGAATTAGCTCGATTATAAATGCAGTGTTGCCAGTTTCCGCAGCAACAAAAAGCATTCGTGAATTGTATACATCTCTGTTACCAATACGTGTTCTTGGGCCACGTATTATGTCGTCAATTTGTGACTTTGACTTTTGCACAATTCGTTGCCAAATAAATCTCACTATTTCCACAGCATGACTTTTCTTTTCCGCACGTCCTATCGTCCTACCAAGTACTCCACAAACTAGAAACCAAATAAAAATAAATTAGGTGACACAAAATATATTCTTTTTATTACAAAAACCCTTAGATTGGATTTTTTTACGACATACGTTTAATAGATTACTAAAAGTTTTTTTTTTTCCATAAACAGATAGAGGAAATACTTTTATGGTAGAATCTTCGGATAAATTTTGGATCTTTTCGTGTAAAGGCATCTGGCTTTCTTGCCAAAACTTGAAGTACTTGCCCATCATCACCCAGTTCAGGGTAATCCTTCAATATATCCAATGCTACATCTGAAAATGATTTGATAATAACTCTAATTAATATAATAACAACAATAGTAACGAACGAATGATACAAATGAGCGATATTAATTTATACTTACCAAAGAGATCAGACTCGACACATTTCACGAGAAGCCAACCACGATTCTGCTGTGTCCAACCATCGTCATGCAATTTCTGGGATTTACTGTAGAGATACTTCACCATTTCACTATTTCCAAATAAAGCTGCCATATATAATGGCATCATTCCTTGACTACCAGGGATTGTTAACAAACACTTGTTCCTTTCAACCATAAGTTTAGCGATATCAACAGTGCCAGCTGCAGCTGCTAAAGATAAGGCTGTGTTTAAATTCTTATTTTGTAGTTCCAAATCGTCTTTTGTCATCAACTTCACGAGATTTTCCACAAAGTGTGTGTTTTTTGCTGATGATGCGATGTGAAGTGCAGTTTCGTAATTTTCGGTGATACTAGAACGTATCACTTCTGGGTGTTCGTCAAGAATGGTTTTTGCATGTGGCCAGTTTCCAGTCATTGAAGCTTCGTAGAGTGGAATGCATATCTCAAGGTAATCTTGTCTTCTGTTATCTGTCGTTAGAAAAAGTCCGATTTGTAAACAACGACTAGTGAATATTGTTTTCTTGCATAAAGTCAAACTCAAAGAGTAGTAGCTATACGAAGTTGATGTTGAAACATTTTATGTATAGAAAAATGGATAAACTAATGAGTAAAACAAGTGGGACAATAAAAAAAAAGTATATATAACGTATTTCCTTTTATTTATTATTGTTCATATTTCTTTGTTTAATGACTGAGTCAGTAGATTCAAGCCCAAATCGGATATAGAAATCTGATAAAGATACAAATGCAGCATCTAATTCAAGCTCAGTTCAGATATATAAGATAATCGAACGTTTTTCTAACCATAAAAGCTGAAATTATACGGAGTTAACTTTAAATTTCAGAAAGAGAAAGATGGAATACCTAAAAGGAAAGTAAAGTAGCTTATGCATAGGTGTTCTTGTTTCTACTTAATTGGTTTAAATATGGATGAAGGAACAAGTAGTTGAAGGGGAATTTGTTAATATGTTGAAAGTTAAATCAATTCAGAATTAAAGGAAAGCAAGTAGATAGAGATTACCTGCAAGAAGATCTCCACAGGGATTTTTAACTGGTAATTGATAAAATGTGTTACCCGCAGTTTGAGCGACAACAAGTTGGTGGTTTTCTTTGACAGGGATCAAAGGGGTAATTGCTGCCATGATTTCCGACGAACTGTAGCTGCACAGCGACGCTTAAAGATCGATTATAATTCTAAAATTGAAGTATGGAAAATTAAGAGAGTATATTGTATCTACCTGAATCTGAAACTGAAGTGTGATTTTTGAAAGATTTGGTAGAATTAATGACAGTTCCAACTGAGGAGATCGAACTCGGTTAAATCCAAATTGAGGACGCGCAAAGATTGTTGGTCGAATCTTTTTCAGAACATTTGGCCGGAGGAGAAAATTACAGGAAAGTTATTGGGAAGATTCTTTTTCACAATAGACAAAATAGCCACATAATTGGAGTAGTTGGGTTCTCATTTCATCGTATTTTCCAAGCAACCTTGCCACTTTTCAGTTTTCATGAAAATTTAGATAATAATTTTAAATACAAATACTAAGATTATATATTAAAAGAATGTTTCTTTATCAACGAACTGTAAAGCTGTAATTTTTTTTATTTTATTTTTTTTATTTTTATTATTATTATTATTATTTTTTTTTTTTTGACTTTTGTTCCTATTTTTTAGTCATTTTAATATTTTTGTCATTTAAATCAAAATTTTTACATTTTTTTAAAAACATTTTAATATTTAAAGTTTGATCACAACACTTCAAAAAACTTGCTAATTTCAATCCATTTAATTCTTTATTCATTTTGATACTTTTGGTTATTATAATCAAAACTTTTATATCTCTCCATAAAATATACAAAAAACGGCCGGGACGAAACTCGGGTTTTTCCGCTAGTTTACAACGAAATTAAAGTCAATTATTATTAAAAGATCTTACATTTTAAAATTATAAGGCTACTAGGAGTAATAACGCCTAAAAACACCGCACATCTCCATCGTTATTGCACATTATAGGTATTATCGTTGCTTCCCGTTACCACCACAAAATTTAGTAACTTCATTTCTTTTTTTTGTTTTTTTGGGTTTTCCTGCTAATAGTAATAACACTTGTGGGCGTGCCCACTCCTATCACTCTAAGAAAAGGAAATTTACTCTATGAAAAATAATTATAAATATCACTCTTTTAAAAGAAAACAAAAATAACCTAAAATCTCCTATTATGAAAGTTATTTTTTTTCGGTTTTCAATTTAATCGTTTTGGTTTTACTGTTTTTTTTATTCTAAAACTAACATAACCAAACCAAATAAAGTTCGGTTTAATTGATTTTTGATTAAGTCGTTTACGGTTTATTTGGTTCGGTTTGTCGACTAAACCGAATAAAATTTTGCATTTAACAATAAATATTAAATTAAAATAAAAAAAATTTACTAAACTTGCCAAATGAAAAAAAATACACTAATATATATATATATATAATATTCACTTTTTCATGATTTATTATGTTTATTATTTTGAAGTATTGATGTAGCCAAAAAAAATTATAGAGACAAGTTAATATAGTTTTAGTTGTAAACAAAGATGAAAGAACTGACTGAACATTAATTAACATTTGGTTAATTAGTTGTTTTTTTTAATACAATATATAAACAACTATAAATTTATAATGAATAATCATTAAATAATGAGTTATAAAAATATATTTTCATAGATATCTATTAATTTAAATATAAAATGTTAATTTACAGATATAAACTATAAAAATGCATATTAATTAAATACTTTATTCGATTTAACCAAAATCATGAAAATCTAAACAAAACCAAACCAAATAACATATATCTTTATTTTGTTAACCAAACAAAATTAAACGAATAACCAAATAACCCGAACAAAATAAACCAAACATCATTTGGTTGGATTCGGTTATTTGGTTTTGGTTTTTTATCACAACTCAATCTCCTATGATATATTCTAAAGTTTTTTTTACCATTCAAAACATTTTGTTTTATTAACTTTTTAAATTTTCTTATCTTTTTGTTTTATCACATTTGGTCACTACAATTGGTAATATTCTATTTTATAATCAAAATATATCTAGATATTAGATTTTCTTAAGTTTTATATATAGATAATTAGCAAATTTGATAAACAAAATAAAAACTAATATATTAGGAAAAAACTACGTAAATTTAAATTAGTTGTCAAAAGCATTTAAAATTAAAAATACCAATATTATAAAACATGAAAGTTACATAATCTTTCATATATATATATATATATATATATATATATATATATATATATATATATATATATATATATATATATATATATATATATATATATATATATATATATATATATATATATATATATATATATATATATATATATATATAGAGAGAGAGAGAGAGAGAGAGAGACCGAGAGTTAGGTTCATGTGAGACGGTCTAATTTTATTAGACCGTAAGACGCAATCCTAGTCATTCATTTGGTAGATAAAACAAAATTCATTTTTAAAATGCAAAATAATTGAAATTTTTCAAAAAAAAATTCAAATATTATTTTTGGGATTTATATTTTCCAAAAAAAAACCAAAAAATATATAAAAAAAAATAAAAAATATATATATATTTTACATATTCTAATAGAATAAATAAAATATTTTACATATCTGAGAAATCTAGTATAATATTCTAACATTCTAAAAATCACATTATAACCAAATAAAGCATAAACAACTTATTTTTTTTATTTTTAAATGCGAAATTTTAATCAAAAACGGTAATTTTTTTTAGAATGTTTATTGTTTATTTGGTTCTAATGTGATTTTTTACCGACAAACCGTAACCGACAAACCGGTTTATTGTTTATTATCGACAAACCGGTTTTTTTAGGTAATTATTGTTCCGAAAATAATAATTAATTTTTTTTTTTTTGAATTTTTCCTTTTATTTTGCATTTTAAAATTATTTTTAGATTTGGTCACACGGTCTCACAAAATTAGCATGATCTCAAATGAACATGAACATATATATATATATATATATATATATATATATATATATATATATATATATATATGATCGGGTGATGACTCATTTTAAAGTAAGAATTTGTAAAGACACCTTAAAAAAATTGAAAAAAATCTAAAAAAATACAAATAAAAAAAATCGAACATAAATCTATGTCCGGGAGAAAAAAAATGGAAAAAAATGAATTATTAAAATTAAATCATGGATCATAACGATGCAAAATAAAAAATTAAAGTTGAATCATTGATCAATTTTAATGATGTAATTTTTTTCCAGCTTTTTTTTCTCCCGGACATAAATCTATGCTCGATTTTATGATTTGTATTTTTTTTTAGATTTTTTTCAATTTTTTTAAGGTGTTCTCACGATTACCTACTTTAAAATGACTCATTACAGTAACCATACCATATATATATATATATATATATATATATATATATATATATATATATATATATATATAGAGAGAGAGAGAGAGAGAGAGAGAGAGGTAAGATCAATTGAGAAAATAAAAAAGGTTGAGAATGGGAGAATCATTCTCAGCTAATCATTTAATTAGCATATTAGCATAAAATACATGGTGTTAAATTTGTAAATATGATATATTAACCTTCAATCACAGATATCATTTCTTCTGGATCGTTTATCTGTTCTTCATCAACACCATCTGTTATTCATTCATCTCGATTGTTCATCTGTGTTTTTCATCAACATCATATGTTCTTCATCAACATAATACGTTTGTAATTCATATGTGAATAACATATAAGAATTATATCCGCATGTAAACATAATGTAATATTCACAAATGTATATATATATATATATATATATATATATATATATATATATATATATATATATGTATGTATTATTCACAAATGAATAAAACTGTCAATAAAACCGAGGACTATAAAATATATAAAATTAAAGATTAAAAAAATATTTGATAAGAATATATATTTATTCACATACAACTAATCTTTTTAGGTTAATAAAATAATTATATAAACATATATTTTTATTAATGTTATATTCATTTGTGAATAAATGATAACATTTTTTTCCAGAAAATTATAAAAATTGAAAAACGTCATTTTGAGGCACTAAACAGTCTCGAATGACCGAAAAACACCGTACGTCATGGCGAAGCAGTGAGTTTTGTAAATCGCACCATTTTACATCAAATATGCGAATTTCGTCCAATTCCGAGACTAAACTTCATTGCGGCAAATTGTTTTAATGATGTCACTAAATTTTCATTCCTACTAGTGATGACATCATCGTTATTCATATATCAATAAAGTTTAGAAATCATTACAACATATTTACTGATGATGTTACTAACTTCAATCTCACTAATAAAAACATTGTTATTATAATTTGTTATTTTTATTTATGTGAATAAACTATACATGTTGATTTATTTATTTTGTGAATACAACCTTTATATATAAAAAAAATAATACACTATAAGAATTGGTTTGTGCATAATTTTTTTTTGTATAATGTAACAATATTATTTAAATGTAAAATCAACATTATACTAAGATAAACAACATTGTATTGGTTAATGAATATCATTTGCATTTGAATTTAATACGATCAAAATGAAGAATATATTAAATTGTATAACATTTACACGTGAATATAAAAATATATTGTCTTCGTCAATGTTATATTCTCAATTACGTCAACCACCGAGATATGAACCAACCATTGATTGAAATGTTATTCTTTTATTGAGTTATAATGATGCCTGAAAAACATGTGAATACACATTTATAATTATTAAAAATATACTTTTAGTTCATAATAATAGCGATTTATCACATTCTAATTATCACATGGTATATTCACATATGAATGTATAATCATATGTGAATATTATATGATATATGTTGTTTATATTGTATATTTACATGTGATATTACATGGTATATTCATAAATGAATATTACATAGTATATTCATATATGAATATTATATGGTAGATTCACATGTGAATATTATATGATATATTTACTTGTGAATATTACATATTCTAGTCACATCTAAATATTACATAGTATATATTCATTCATGAATATTACATAATATATTCGCATATGAATAATATATAATACACTTGTGAATATGATACAGGATATTCATATTTAAATATTAAACGATGTATTCACTTGTGAATATTACATAGTATTTTCACTTGTAAGTATTAGATGATATATTCACTTATAAATATTAGATGATATATTCATATGTGAATATTACACAATTTATTCACATATTAATATTACATAGGATATTAACATATGCATATTACAATATATATTCACAAATATATATATATATATATATATATATATATATATATATATATATATATATAATTTTTATACGTTATTCACATATGAACAACATATAAAATTGTATATTTGTTTTGTGTTTTAATAATCATATACTGATTAAGGTGCGAAAACATATTCATATGTGAATATAACATGGTAATTTAGTTTATGCATTTCATCAAACAGTTGGAATGCATACAAGTAACCTTTCTTAAAAATGCTAAAAACATGATACTTTGACTATTTAAAACTTACAAAATAGTAGATTGATAGAGAATTATATGAAATTTTTCAAAAAGAAAAATGTTTTGATGTTTTTCTAACCTTAATTTCGAAGTTTTTTTTTATGATCGATGTTGAATGAATAATATGAAATGAAACTGATGTTGATTATCGATGATATTGATCTAATGACACTAGGAGTAAAATTAATCGTAGATGTTGAAGATATTCTCGTATTCAAGCATAGTTGAAGGTTGGATTGAAAGAACCAAAACCGATTTTTTTTGGTGTATTGTTGAATGATGTTGATGTACGTGTTTTTGACGAAGATGGATGATTGATTAACACTAGATGATGTTGATCGATGATTTAATTGAAGAAATCTGGAAGATTGTTGAACGTTG